TTATCAGTGAAGAGTACAGCTGCATTTGGTTGGGCCTTCCCCCCCCCCGCATTACTCTAAGCATTATCTTTATTCACTATTCAAATTGCCCCCCCCCTCTTCCCCTCTCAATTAAAACTAACCTATCTAAAAGTATAATTATCATAATTTTTTTAAGTAGTAAAATTTTCAGACGGAATTTTTAGGGCTCAATGTATCACAATGTCCAAATTTTTATATATACATTTGTTTCTTCTACTTGGTGAGTGTGTTCCATTTTTTTTATAATGAAACATTTAAAATGCCTTAATAAAATGTGTTTAAAGAAATTGACCACCAATGATCGCTATTTGTACACTTTGCTCTTTTACGCTGTGTTAGTTGTAATTTTTACAGTACACTGTGTTAGCTATAATTTTTACAGTCCATTCTCTAAGGTAAAATAAATTTTAACATTACACTCTTTAAGGTATAATTTTTTACAGTAAAATGTATAAGGTATAATTTTTACAGTACACTCCCTTACGTGTAATTTTTACAGTACATTCTGTTAGGTAACATTTTAACAGTACACGCTGTTAGGTATTATTTTTACAGTACACTCTGTTAGGTCTAATATTTACCTACACTCTATTAGGTACAATTTTAAATGACCTTAACGCCTGCGTAATTTTGAAAGTGTTAGCTCAGAAATTGTCTCCCTTTAACTGTAGCACACTATAGCACCGACAACTCATAATTTTAATTTTGAAATAAAAATAATGTGTTCTTAGTTGTTTCACCCTTATGTCAGTGTTAGTTGTTTGTTGTATACTAGGGACGATTATTTAAAATGAGCACATATTTTAAACGACCCAACCAAGCCAACTCCGCACGGTTCATCTTTTAGACATTTAGCGACCACCGGAGAAAGTTCACGTTAAACTGTCGTTCGCATCCATTGTGATATTCTCATTTAATTATCTAGTATATTCCGCGTCATGCTTTTTATACATTGCTGCTCTGATGTATCACTGGGGATGCGAAGAATTCGCTTATTTATATCCTTCATTAAATAATATAAACATCGGAAATCCCTCGTAATTCCTGGTACATTTCTTGAATACTTTATCTCTTGTATATGACTGGCAAGATTTGAAAGTAAACAATGTAAGATTTGTGATGCCAGCCTTTTTAAAAAAAAAAAAAATTGATTAATGCAGATATATTTCACAGTTTTTTTTACTACTTTATAAGCACCAATATCTACTAATTATGTTATCTTTTTAAAAGAGCCTCATTAAAAGTGTGAGTGTGTTCTCGCTAAGTCTCAGCGTTGTGTTTTATTTGAGAGTTAGTCGAAAGATCGTCTGTCTCTTTGGTCCGTCTTGTCATTCCGCCAGACGAATTTGATCACCTCCTCGCCACCCTGCACAACCCTACGACATCGGTCAAGTGTACTCATCATGCATCATTCATCAGACATGCCATCATCGTGTCTAACGTGTTAAACTGCGTGTCATACTTGCAATGAGACATTTTACTAAACATTGCGAAGGAAAAATCTTTTATTTCAATTCTTCATATTCATTTTGGTTTTTAACTATATATTCTAGTCCTTCTAAAACCTTTTTTTTTTTTTTGTGTTGAGGGAAAAAATCTTCGGATTCCTAATTAACCCACTTTCCGTCAAACTATCAAGCTGAAACTTGGCACAGAGACCCGGTGCCGATGACAATACATTCTAATGGATTTTCAGCCCCAACCACCCGAAAAATAATTTTTCCTGTTTTTCAAGGGGAAGATGAAGGAATTCTGATGCCCCTCATTTTATGAAATAAATTTCTCGATAACTGCGCTACATGAGATTCTTTAAGACAAAAATAGCTCGCAAGTATGTTTCTGAGTAATAGTTTCTTTTCTTTTTCTGAAAATGGTGACATACATCTGTGTTGTGAAATTAGGTGGGGGGGGACATTAAAATAGTAATGTAAAAATATAACAAAAATGCCTATAGAGTATTTATACGAAAGACGTCGTTTTAGAGGCTGTTTAATTTTACCCGATGGAACATTCATATGTTACAGGCATTATTGGAATTTACCGATTTCAACTCTGTGATGTTTAGTTAATCTCGGAAAATGTTCATTGAAAAATATTGTAAAAAAATGTTCTGCTTTCTTTCCTTCTTCATATCAAATAATTCGCGTGTAATTTTTTTTTATTCACGAGTGTTACATTCTTCATTCTTCATTTCCCCCATCAATAATTGAATACTTTTTGTTCTTCGACTATCAAACAGTGGCGTAGCTAGGGATAGCAAGGGATTTTTGGGCACTGGGGGCTTGGCCTCTTTGGGGGCCCCTGCATTATGAAATTCGACATTATTTAATGTAAAACAATTTTTCGAACGTTCCTTTGGAGGTCCCCCTTAAATAGGGGCCCGGGGGACTTTCGAATTTGGACCCCCCCCAAGCTACGCCACTGCTGTCAAAGGTTGGCATAACAATAAATCAAGGCTTGCTTGGTGCCGACATTAACACAACATCCTCTCATCTCTCTTTTAATTTATAAAAATGTGTATTTAAAAAAAAAAATAATAAATATTTTTTTTTCTTTTAAATATAATAATAATAATAATAAAGTTTATTTAAAAAATACGCTTCATCCCCAAAGGCTCGAAGCGTGGTACAATGTCAACAAAAAATAAATCTATAATTTACCACATTTAAAACAAACGCAACACTACAAAAACTAATTACAAGCATACAAAAGCAAAGTCTTTCTAGCCATTTCAACTCTAAGCAACACACCCATTATGCATTAACTGGAAAATAAGGTAGCCAATCATCGCAGAAGGTGTTTGCGAAATAGATGTGTCTTTAAATCGGTTTTAAATGACTCCAGTGTCTTGTTTCTGAGATCGACAGGAAGGGCGTTCCAAATTGTTGGACCAGCAAATGCGAAAGTGCGCTTTCCGTAAGTCTCAAGGCAAACACGTGGTGTCGAGAGTTTGCCACTATCGGATGAGTGGAGCTCTCTAGTGGGTACATAAGACGTCAGCAGCTCTTTCAGATAGGACGGCGCCAGGTCATGTAAGCAGCGGTAGCACAAAGTTGCGATTTTGTACTCTATGCGAGCACGCACCGGCAGCCATTGCAACTCTCTCAGAAGTTTTTGCATGGTCGAACTTGCGTTTGCGTTTTTTTTTAAATTCTTTAATGTAGTCTAAAAGAATACATAATAAAAATCCAGAATCTTATTTTGTAACAAATTGCTAAAAGTAAACTAGGCGGAGTGAAATACAAAAAAAAGCAGTTATAGATTTGGAAGAGGAAAAAGAAGAAGGTTTTTTTTGGAAAGAGAGGCTCTGGATTAATTAACTTTTTTAAAATGCTATACAGTCGTTTAACCACCAGTTATATTGGAATGCATTTTGTAAAAAGTTACTGAGATATTTGTTACTGGTAATCCTTTGAACACAATTACGACAACACTAGTGGCACCACCGTTCTGCCATGGCAACCGCAAATATATAAAAATCAGCGATTATTTTTTATTTGAACTACTGAATTTGTTTCCAGCAAACCATTGTGCGGGTGTTGATTTTATGCTCCGAGTATCGGTATGTGTAACGTCGTGACGTCGTCAGGATCTCTTTGTTAGGCCGAGCTAATGGGCTTTAAAATGTGTTGGATGGATTTCACTTGGTTGTTCGGCCGATTGATTTTTATGGCGCGCCGGGCATCTGATATAGGCGAAACGTTGTCAAATCTCCCTCAAATTTTGTGATATTCATTTACACAGCCTCGTCCAGGGTAGATAAATACCGCTCCACTATTCTTGAACGTTGTGTGATATAATGCATTTCGTGTTCTTTAATGGATAACGTAATTAAGTCATTTTTTGACAAAAACTTATTTTTACATTTTGTGTGCAGGCAAATATATTTGTAAACGATTTATACAAGCAATGCAAAATTAGGTTACGCATTGATTGAATTTCTTTATACCGATCCATTAAAAGTTTAGGGCATTTCTATTTTTTTTAAATATATACACGCAGGATTACTGTATTCGTTTTGTAGTGATACTGATGTCAAGAAATGGATAAAATCATCACGGAATTCTCATCTCGTCAACCAACATAAACATCATGAAGAAAAAACATTTTTTTTTTAAAATCCAAAGAAGATGTTTACCGTTTCAAAAGTGAAAGGAGTCTAAAAATTTAAATGTGAAAAATGTAACGCTTTTGGTAAAACAGCCATTAATAATTTTGTATTTATTTTGCGCCATAAAATTAGAATATTGTTAATGTTAACAGTTTTTTTTTTTTAAATAAAAACACAACAGCTTTTCTATAAGAAACCGAGTAGACAGCCAGGGTGCAATTAAGAAAACACACAGCAACATGATTTCATCTGAATGCAGTTTGATATACTTCTCCTTAAATCCACAAACGGCAGTTATCTTCTCACATCCTGCCACAAACATCGTTGTTTCCATCATAATCACTGCCCTAAATGCGTCATCTATTGCCATCAACGCATCATTCATCACCATAATGTACTACGATCGGTACCATAAAACGGAGTATACAACAGCAGTCCAGGTCGTTCGCCACAAAGTAAATATGGCCATGCGACCAAATTCTCGCAACAGTCAGGAAAAGAATCAAATATCAGTTATGCTAATGATGTCGCTGTCATGTTCTGACCTTGCCTACAGCACACTCGTGATGCCGTTCTGTGTGCTTGAAGTTATCGAAAATGGGAGATGGCTATTTGGGGAAATCTTGTGTCATGCGCGAAGCGTAATGGTGTATTATTTCCTTTCCGTGTCCATCTACCATGTGGCATGCATGGCTGTTGATAGATACATAGCCATCAGCAAGCCATTCTTGTACCGGAATTTCACTATAAAAACTGGCTACGTCATGATTGGAGTTTCTTGGATGTTACCAGTATTAATTCAGTTCTTGCCGCATTTCTTGGGATGGGCAAATATTGAAGAAAACATAATATTCAAATGTCACGATAAAGAATGTCTTCACATATTTAAACAAGGATCTTTCATAGCATGCATTATAGTTGGTTTCTGCATCCCTTTCCTCATCCCATACTTATGTTACATATTGATATTGAGAATAGTCATGAAATTTAACACGAGACGAAAAAAACACGTTGGCAAAGTGATACGGCGAGCCAAACCCATCATCCAAACCATATCTGGAAATGTGGTCAGGAAAACTAATTCGATTACTCAGCAACAAACAACTGATGTGGCCTCCATCAATTTTACAGACATATCGATATTGAGCTCTGTGGCCCTGGCAACAGAGATTGGAGACCATCATACAGATGCACACGCAATCACCGATCCTATCGTCAATCATAGTTTATCTGTTGGCGCGTTAGATCCTAAATTGAACATTCGGCCACTAACAGATGTTGCGGACATTCAAGCCGAAAAAATCTCGAATCTCCGCGGCAAAGAGACATTCGAAGGTGCATTCTCGTCAAAGTCAGCGCCGGCGAAGAGAAACCTAAAGGCCTACGGCACGGTCGGCAGCATCCTGATATGTTTCACCATATGCTGGAGTCCGACCTGCGGCTTCGTCGTTACGTTCCTTCGTGCCGGTGATCCTATGCAGCCCTGGTTTTTCGTGATGGTGATGTGGATCGCGAACCTGAACATGGCCCTGAACCCGTTACTCTATTGTTTGAACAGGTCTGTGCGTGGAGCGGTGAACACATTTCTTAGGAGACCATAGAATTGTCGCTATTGCTTTATCCGTATGCTGGACGCTGTCCATGGCTGGGCACGGGTAGACAGCACTCGGCTGGTGAGGTCAAGCTTCTTACCAATTGATGTTTTTAAATGTATAATTTTTTGTAATTGCTAAATTTTATGTGAAGTGCAGTGAGCCTTGCTCTAGGCTGGGGTGTGCGCTGTATAAAATCACCTTATTGATAATAATGATAATACTACTAATAATAATAATAATAATGTAGAGTGCATTTGAAATGCATCCATGGCTACTAAAGTCCTTAATTTTTTTTTTTTTTTAATCTTCAATTTAAGTAACCGCCATTGTGGTCGTATTAATTAAATGTTGCTTTTTAATTCGCCGTTATATGTAATATTATTTTAATCAGCTTATGCTGCTTTGATCTTTAAAAATTGATGAATCTGTTCATTGCTTTAATATTTCGTTTTCATGTTGTTTTTAAAAGGGTATCGCAACTAAGTATTCCCCAAAGTTTTATTACGAGACTTTAATCATTATTTAATTTTGTAATCACTATTCTTGAGGATATTTTTGTTAAAATAATAGAACAAATGAAGTGCAAGTGTGAAATTTTTGTCATCTTAAAATAGCCTTAAATTAAAAATCAAAAGGAAAAAAATTGTTTTTAAATCTGTAAAATTCTGCGTTTTGCAATCGTTTTTTTTTTTGTGTGGGGGGGGGGGGGGAGGGGAGGGTTGATAATCATATTCTATTCAGCCATGACGCCTACATAAAAGCAAACCCTGTTGACACGTACATTGTGTATGACAAATTCTGTCTACAGAGCCATACCATCACCCATAACAATGTACTCTTAATCACCTATTTATTTTTCAAACAAACTTTAAAAAAAAAATAAAGTGTTTCTTTCCCCATTAAATATGTATTTCATCAAATAAATTGAGAAGCGTGAGCTGCACTCAACGCCATCTTCATGGGAGGGGGGGAGTCTGAAAAGATCATTTTTTGCGTGACGTAATTTGCGAACGACCCCTTAGCCTTTTATTCGACTATTCATCAATCGTGACGTCATTTTACCACACAAAAAATAAATAAATGGAGATAATATGAATTGCTGGTGCTCTAGGTCTATCATTACCCTATTAAAAAGTGAACTAGTATAAAACAAAAAATTTAAAAAATTCAATTTAAATGCTCTACACTTTATAATAGTATCTTTTCTTTTGTACCATTTATTTTATCTACCTCATAATTCAATCTGAAATTTGAAAAAAAAAACAAAAAAAAAACATAAATATTCAGTTGGTTCCGTCGTGTTAGGCAAACATGTGAGTAGGGAAAAAGTGCATAAACTGTTATGGATTACACATCATGAATTGACTATAATGATAGTGACGACAGCCACCATTGAGTAGATTCTGTTTTAAAGAACTCACCTTAACGTTGTAGACTTATTGATCATATGGACTTTTTTTTGTAAGCATGGAAAACGTCAAACAATAACTCTGAAAAGATCAAGGGTATCATTTAGAAAAAGATAATAAAATATTTTTTTTTTAAAATATATAAATAGACATATTGTAAAAATAAATTTGAAATTAAAGGCGTTCATTGAAGTTAGACTTCACTAGAACGCGTATTGATTACAAATGCCCTCTACATGCACAGGAGCCAGAATTGATCAACACACTGATTTGTGGAACCTTAATACATAGGAGCAGAAGGTCATCGTAATGCCCAACTGCCTGACGAACCCTTTCTTTCACTTGATCATTATGGGAGATATGGTCCCTGTAGCCGATGCCAAAAATGCTTCTGAAGCATCTCATCTCCATCGCTTTTATTTTCCTTTCAAGTTCTGCTGTTAATGTCCAGGATTCGCAGGCATATTGAAACATGGAGAGGACTAATGAGCGCATCAGCCTGATTTTGGTGCTGGGGGCTATATTTTTGTCGTTCAATACTGTCTTGAGCCTCTTTAGTGCTGCTGTGTTCTGCGCACTCCTGGACATCAGTTCGGGCTTGTAGCCTTCTTCCGAGACATTTGCTCCTAGATATTTGAGGTGGCCTACAGTCTCTAGTCTTTTCTCCCCGACCTTAATTTCAGGGGCGATGCCGGTGGTGTTATTTGTCATCAGTTTGTCTTTTTGACACTGATTAGCATTCCATAGGACGATGAAGTCTTATCGAGACGCTTTACTAGTTTGTCTAGCTAACCTTCGTTCTCTGCCAGTACCTATATGTCATCCGCCAAGCGTAGGTTAGTGATGAGTGATTACCTAACTAAACGAAGAAAAAAAATAGAGTGATGGAAGCAGGACCGGTTTGAGGGAACAAAACGGGGCTCATATAATACAAATTTAATACATTGAAATGCTACGTTCCTTTAATGTGAATCAATATTTCAGCCATCTGCGCCTTGTGGTCGCATAACTCAAGTAGCTTAACATTTTGAAACATCAAAACTCTCAAGTTAATTTATGTCTGTGAGGGTAAGGAAATATACTAAGCCAATACCAGTAGGCCATATAATTACCATAAAAATACCATATATTTACCTTATAATTACCAATTGTAAATAGCGCCGGCTGCTGTGCACTTTACCTTTGTTTCAATTTAATAATGTAGGTTGAGATCTTGTTTTTCCTTTGCATTGAAAGAAATATAGCATCGATTATTTAAGTCTTGAATTTAAAAATAAAATAATGTGGCTTTTACTTAACCATTATATTAATTGCGAATTCTTTTTTATTAAATGGCTATAGATCTGCTGAATGATATATAATATTAACACTATTAAAAGACCTAACCAAGCCAATTCTGCACAGCGACTCTTCTCCCAGTGTGGATGGACACAAAAAGAAGTCACACGGAATGTAATCTTTTAAAGTTATAGGGCCTAAATTATGAAACAGGTTGCCTCAGTGTTTAAGGGTAGTTCAAAATGATAAAAAAAAAATTTATCTCAGAGACACTTAAAGACAACCTTCTTGAAATAGATTTGAAGACATCGTAGCGCTTTGAGCTGGCTGGAACAGCATTGACACGAGTGCTATACAAGCAATCAATCCTCATCTTCATCAAATTGATAGGAAACTCACCATCTTTCTCTACTGGATACCCTCTCCCATTTCGGGAGAACAACCTTCCATTTCCGCAGGAAGCTGACCTTCTCCCAAAACGGGTAAACCAACTTTTATTTCAAAATTCCATAACCACATGAAACTCGGCCCCACAACTTCTAACCAAAATGAACAGTCTTCGCCATCGTAGCTCAATTAATAACTCACTCCCATTCAATTTGACTTCAGTAAATCTACGCCCGCCTATCTGCCCCATTACAACTCTACGGAATAGCATCCCCTCGCATCTACCGACTCTTCCAATTGTTTAGTCTCACTAGTCGCCTTCTCTTCAGGTGGGATCTCAGCCTACCCCTACTAAGGAAACCACACCGAACTGACCTTGCTTCATCACCTGATCTTTACCAAGCAACTTGAAATGCGCATTCCCTAACGTTTGGGGACATCAACTCTCAAAATGACACGAATCTCACCTTTTCCCAGCCACTGGAATCTCACCTTTTCCCAGCCACTGGAATCTCACCGTTTCCCAGACACTGGAATCTCACCTTTTCCCAGCCACTGGAATCTCACCTTTTCCCAGCCACTGGAATCTCACCTTTTTCCCAGCCACTGGAATCTCACCTTTTCCTAGCCACTGGAATCTCACCTTTTCCCCGCCACTGGAATCTCCCCTTTTTCCCAGCCCCTGGCACCCCACCTTTTCCCACCCCCATCCCAGCCACTGGAATCTCACCTTTTCCCAGCCACTGGAATCTCACCTTTTTCCCAGCCACTGGAATCTCACCTTTTCCCAGCCACTGGAATCTCACCTTTTCCCAGCCACTGGAATCTCACCTTTTTCCCAGCCACTGGAATCTCACCTTTTCCCAGCCACTGGAATCTCACCTTTTTCCCAGCCACTGGAATCTCACCTTTTCCCAGCCACTGGAATCTCACCTTTTCCCAGCCACTGGAATCTCACCTTTTCCCAGCCACTGGCACCCCACCTTCCCCTGCAATGGGGAAACTCACTCACCCTCACCTCGGTATTTAACCTTTTCCTTTCCACGCTTGAGTTACTTACTCGATAAGCAGGTCATCATCGACATAGTTATTAAGTACAACCATATGCATCCCATCTTCAGACCAACTAAAGCCCATGTTTTCTAAGAACCTTTATTCTCTGTCCCATTGTGTCTTTCTTTCCTCATCCTCTATGGTCCATCATTAAGCTCATTTTATTATCGGAATCCTACCCTTCTAGCATATCCTTATTTAAGTCTTCCCCTTCTAGCATATCCTTTTCTTTCTCCCCCTTCTAACATATCATGATATGTCTCCCCCTTCTAGCATATCCTTTTTATGTCTCCCCCTTCTTGTATATCCTTCTTATAGGTCTCCCCTTTCTAGCATATCCTTCTTATATGTCTTGCTATTTCAGCATATCCATCTTATATGTCTCCCCCTTCTAGTATAGCCTTCTTTTATATTTCCACTTCTTGCATATCCTTCATATGTATCTCCCCTTGTGGAATATCCTTATTATATCTCAACCCCTTCCAGCAAATCCTTCTCATATCTCTCCCCCTTCTGGCGTACCCTTCTCACATGTCTCCCCTTCTAGCATATCTTCTAATATATCTCCTTTCTAGCATATGCTTCTTATATGACTCCCCTTCTAGCTTATCCTTCGTATATGTCTCGCCCTTCTAGCATAAACTTCTTATAAGTCTCCCACTTCTAGCATATCCTTCTTATTTGTCTCCCCCTTATACCATATCCTTCTTATTTGTCTTCCCCTCCAACATATCCTTCTTATCCGTCTCGTCCCTTCTATCATAATCATCAAAATTGTATTCGGTCCACTTAGAAAGAGCTTTGTTTATTATATTCTTGCCCACT